CAGTGGCCAGATGCTGATAGAGAGAACAATGAACTGAACTGAGCAGGATAACCTTTCCCAGTCTCAAGGCATGCAGCCTCTTCAATAACATATAAAACGAAGTCCCTGTTCCTAACCCTGGGCATTTTGGTACTCAAAGCTAAGTGCAGCAAAACTCAACACAAGAAATCCCATTAATTTCTATGGCCCCTGTTCACACCTGAGTTTTGTCGCAAGCTGTAAAACGCCGAACACTGGAAAAGGTGCATGAGCTTTTTTCAGGAAGATTACAGTTCGTTTGGCCACATAGACTTCAATGGAAGTGCATGAAAACACACCACAGAATCGTTTTGCACGTTTTTGTGTTTGTATGCATTTGTGCGCAATGCATTTTAATCTGCACAATAAAACATGCGTCTTTGTATTTGCGCGTCTAACACACGTAAACATGTGCCCTAATATGCGCAAAAAGATTGAGGCCTAGGTGTGACTGGAGACTTATCCAGCATGCAAGTTGATGGAGCAATTGTAAGCTCTCCTTTAATTTCTTACCTAGGGGGTGATTGGATAGGGATGGCATGTCAGAGCATTATTAAATACCTTTGGTTAGTGTAAGACCGCAAATTTTATTAAACTGGCAATTCTTTACTCTGAGGTGTCAGGCATTTCAGCTCTGTTACCCTGTGCTTTGGCCTGGCTTCTGCCTCGCCTCCAGCTCAGATTCTTGTCTTGTTATGCAAATCTCTGGTGGAATAAACAAAGGTGCTCTGTTGGCACATAATTATGTGGCAGGCTGGAGGAGAGTACATAGATGGCATGAAGGTCTGCAGTGGGTTGTTGAGGAGCTGAGCGGCACACACTTGTACAATATACGGTCTATGATTGAAGTGTTTAAGTTAACAGGACATGCAAAACATGTACATTTTCAGATCTATAGCTTTCAATTTGTCTTGTGTCCCCCAGATAGATTATTGCATTTATGTACTAGCTTTAATGTGGCACTGCATGCTTTATAAACTGTGCTTTTTGTTACAAATGTTTCATATTTTGGTCTAGCATTATGTAGTCTGACTCGGAGGTCTTTGCATTGAAAAGTTGGCTAATTAGGTTAAGCTGTTTTACATTCTACGCTATAGGGCTCATGCATAGGGGCACCCTAGCTGCTGAATTTTTCTGTGAATGCAAGGATAGAAAGCGTTGTGTGCAGGTATATGTGCATAAATGCTGCTATTGGCACTTGCACTGGCATGAGTTTCCAAATGCAAAACTTCCACATGCAGGAACTTAAGCCCCAACTATGTGTAAATGTAATTTCTGGCATTAACGCGCGTGCACCCGCGTACAACATTTTCCACCCATAAATTCCTATGAGAAACCCAGCAGCTGGGGCTTCCGGGTGCTGCAAATACAAGCATATTTTACACTGTTTACCAATATTTGTGCCCACATGCATTAGCCCTAAGGCCCCTTTCAGACGAGCGGTCCGATCGGGTCTCCCTGTCAGTTTTTAAGCCGGACCCGATGAGATGCTCTATGCAAGCCTATGGGCAACTGGGCTTAAACGATCGACCTCATCCGTTTACACCAGGTTAGCCTTCACTGCAGCTCGGGACGGATCAATGACTGATCCTCTCCTGATCGGCCGTGTGAAAGGGGCCTAAGAGTAACAAATTTTTTTTTTTACTCACAATCTTAGTACTAAGAACCAAGTATTAGAATGTGTGTTGGGATTCTCAAAGTAATTAAGCATCAAAACAAAAGACCAAGCGGAGCTCAACGCTGTCTCTGACATCCGTGTCGGTACAGGTTTTTTTTTTTTTAAACTTTTTTATCTGTCTATGGGGAAGCGCATTTAATCGGACATGTCCGGTTACATCAAATTACCTCTGGACAAGCACAATCCGGTCCGTCAAAACGGATCAGTGATCAGTCGGTTTTTCTGGACCAAGCTGGAGGCGGGGCTAACTGGGTGCAAACAGACACTTGTTGTCCGTTTAAACCCGGCTGCCCATACACTTGCATAGAGCGGGTCCGGCTGAAAAACTGACAGGCGGACCTGGTCAGATCACTCCTCTGAAAGGGGCCTTAAGGATACATAAAGTATACACAACACACAGCTCTCCCCCTCTCTCTCTCTTTTAATGCAATTGGATAGAATGCTATTTGAAATTTGTTTATCATTTGGGAATTTTCCCATCTGCCGGTTTTAGAGGAAATGGTCTTTGCAGGAACACTTTTGCTGACAGTAAAGAGACGGCTCTATTATAAGGTAAATGCTGCTATCTTGTGGCTATGTGGTGTAAATGGCCAGTGTGTACATTCTATACTAAACTGTAAAACAAACTGTGTCGCACCTTGTATAGGTTGACATTTTGGTATTTTGACAGTACTTAAACTGTCTTTTTTTTTTTGTTACCAGTTAAACGGGTTCTGTCTGTTACTTTGCTTGCGTAATAGGCTGTAGCCTGATTGTACTGTAGTGTGCCCAGGCAGATTGCAATAACCATGTTCAAAGTGCACTAGCCATCAATCTTGTTCCTCATTTGACAGCTGTAAATTGAAAAAGGTCACCACTAATTACTACCTTGCTGTATAAGCATATTTAAGGGAACAGTTGTTTTGTTTGTGTGTTTTTTTGGCTGTTTTTTTAGATGATGAGAGAGGCTTAAAGTAGAACTGTGACTTCACATTAAGAAAATGTTCCGCAACACTTAATTTATAAGCGCAGTTTCACTGTACTTATAAAGAAAACTGCATAAACTGTACTTCAATTATTTCCTTTGCAAAGTCCTCCGAATTCCTTTTTTCTACTATTGCAGTCCATCTAATGCAGCTTTCTGTGATGGGGTGGTAACGATGCCGCACTGCTCCTGAATTCAGAAAAGAGTTGCCACTCATGTTTGTTATACCTGCTCGCACTACAGTGGGGTATCGGTATTGTCACTGCAGATTCATAGCCCTGTAGATTGCCAGTCATTACGTGGTCACACTTAGTCCTGCTTGCTACTTCCTGGATTGACCTCAATGCCTCTGTTCCCGAAACTACTGTGAGCGGCAGTGTATGGGAAGGGAAGCAGATGAGGCACAAATGAAGAAGTCCATGTCACTGTCTCTCTGATGAAGGATCCCTGTGCGGACCTGAAACGTTAGCACCGTACGACAGTATGTGACATTGGCTATTAAATAAACATATCAATACTTTAAAAACCCTTCAAGTGTGTGCTGGTGAATTACTTTTATTTACTATTAGTGTTTTGCACGGCGCCATCCGTGTGGTCACTTGGGCACCACATATACCTTTGTGGTTTTGAGATCGTGGCAGTGCGAATGGGATTTGGACTTTGACACAAATGAAGAAGGACTTCATTTGTGTCTGTCAGGGGAGGTAAAGTATTTTTTTTGTTTAACTTGGAGGCTTGTTTTATTGCATAGTAACTGGATTTGACTGTCATGCAAGAAAATGTTATTGTAATTTTAAAGAGAGCCAGCTGTATTTGGTTACTTTTGCCATCCAAGCAGTGATAGTCTATAAAAAATATGATATATCTATATCTCTGTATCTATCTATATATATATATATCATTATTATTTTTTACTCAGATCATTCTCGTGCAATGTACAACAGTTTTGCCATTCCTGGCATTCATCAGGTACAGCAATGAGAATGATCTCAAAGAATTAAGAAGGAATGAGAAAGAAGGCTGTGTGGTGACACTTTTGGATATAACCTCTGGACAGCATATTGTGTGTAAAGGCAGAGCTGGTGTTTACTGATCATGTTACAATGGGTGACAAGGAGGGGGGCAGCTGATTACAGTCTGACACCCTGGTGTCAGACTGATTTTCCTGTGGAGAAAAGTTTTTGAATTTTTAGGCTTTAGGCTTTATAAAACCTTCAGGAAAAAATGAAGAAAGCCTGCAATGTGAGTCATGAAAATGTGCACATATATATACATCTTCATTACCACAATAAATGCTAATCACTTACAAAGGTAAAACTAGACTTAAGCCTAAAAACATGCATTAAAACTGCAGAAAAATGAGCACAGACGTTAATAGTCAACTGGGAAGTTAGTCTTAACTGTGAAACACTGTCTGCCTCAATGGGTGTTGTATGTTTTTAGTTTGTATGTGTTCAGTGCATAGTTGGGTTCGTTTTTGTTAAGGTCGATCAGGTTCATTTCTGTATTTGCCTTCCCTGTGATGAATGGCATTTTTAGCTATGATATATAGCATGGTTATTTATCTCCCATGCTTGCATTTCTATATATCCAAACACAAGTTATCTTTAAGCGCAGAAAACTTTCCATTACAACATTCCCATGGTTGGCTTTACACAGTGGGAGGGTAGACCAGAGTGAGAAGCACTGGTCAGCTGTTATCTCGAAACTACAATCAACAGTCACCAACCATCAAGGACTTAAAAAATATAACCGTGTCATGCAGATTTGGTGCTTGTTTTTCTATTATTTTTTTTTTCTCAGTATGTTTCTCTAGATCAGAATGTTTTTGCTGTTCATTATTTAGACACCATACAGGGCAGAGTAAAAGCTTTTACTGCCTGTAATGTCTGTTTACCTCCGGGTCTCTTATAGCTGCCAAACCATTGTGCGACCTCTGTTTGCTGTACAGGAAACGGGTGCGTGATTCATATTTTCAGTAACTGCTTTTTACAGCGGGATTTCTTTGTGTAAAACATGTCACAAGGTACTTCCTTTGTGCTTTTGGAAGCTATTGTTCAGCTACATTTTATGTATTTATTTATTTTTTACAACATAATGCTTAGATCTAAGGCTGAATTGAATATTTCTCTTCCGTATGTTGGTTGCTCAAAGTTTGAGGCTTGATGCAACCTTTTCTCGCTAGTAAGAGGCTTTTTCTGCACAGTGCAGATACTTTTATCTTAGCAGCCACGCTGTAAGATATCTTTTAAAATAGCTGCAATAGGGTTTGTGTTCCAAAATATACTTTGCTGAATGTACTTGTTCTCCCCCTGCCTGAAAAAAAGTTGTTCTCTTTAGTTGCAGAGCACTGAGGAGGAGCCTTCCCAAGTTCCACCCATAAGACAGTTGGCCTTGGAAAAAAGCAAAGGTAAGAATCTTTATATCTACTTTTTGTACCAATGATTTTCTTGTTAAATTTGGCTTGACATGTGGCAAGTTTTTTACCTAGAATTATTGTTTCATGGTGAAGGGTTTCAGTTGGGGAAAAAATTAAAGGGCAACTGTAGCTGAGCACTAAACATGCCATAAATGAATACAATTTGGAGTATATGGTACTTTCAATACTTTTTGTTTTTTTTTTCTTTAATAATTGGTATGTTTTTAAAGCTTACTCTTGACATATATGCACCTCCCATATTGTTTTCCCATCAGTATAACTTACTTGGCGGATTAAGGTTTTTGAAAAAAGACATGAAGCTCATCAGAAGATGATCAAACTTCTAAAATCCTGAGTGTGAGGGTTTAATCCCGCTTTAGTGGATTTAGTTTCACCAAGAACAGCACAGTTTTTTTTTAAGGGGTTTATTTGCCCCTGTCTATGAAAAATATACCAGCCAGGAACATGGGGTGTTATCCTTAAAAGCATAATAGTCACAAAAATGTAGAGTCTGTGTTATGTTGATATCGGCCTGTAATTCCCATCTACATTCACATTGGTACAGCGTTTCTAGAGGATGGGGCCTTTAAAAGGCAGCCTACCCTTTCAATTTACCCATTTGATGAACATCACCAGGCTTTTCCAAACTTTATGCTGTTGGTGGTGGGAGGTAGATTGGCTACCACATGCATCCGTGAACTAGTACCCATTTAAAAAAACTGAAAAACATAATAAAAGAAATAATAATGAACAAGGGGGCCTCTCTATTTGTTTTCAGATACAGCAAACTCACTGAGATTAACAATTTAAAATTTTCAAGCTAAGAATTATTGGATACCCGTACTATAATACACTTCATAAATTGTAAGGAAATATTTGTAAGTGCCCTTGATACTGGCCAGTGAATTGAACAAGTGAATAGAGGAAGCCTGAGGCTGGAGGGCTCCAGGCTCTTCCACACCTTGGGTTTCTGCAAGAAAGAGATGTGGGAATTTGCGTCCTGGTTGTAGTGTATGTGCCCCAAGAACCCATACCACCCCGAGCAACTTGGTGAACTAGTAGAGGAGTTATTTGTATAACTTCATATCAGTTTGAGTATAGCATCCTTTTTTTATGATTCACCTACTTTATAAATACTAAGGAACTGTTTTTTTGGGGGGTTTTTTAACCACGAAGAACATAAAGCTTTTCTGATGCCTGATATTATTCCTTTATATCTTTTCAGATAATCTGCTGAGAACTGCAAGCCAGCATTCTGACAGCAGTGGCTTTGCTGAAGACACATCGGGTGACTGCCTAACAAATTCCCTTCCGGTAAAAACTTGCTGTAAATCGACAATCTTGACAGTAAATTATTGTAAGGTGTTAACTAAAATACTTAGCAGAGTGTGCAATTTTATTCTAAGGCATCTGAACTAAATAATTCTTTTACCCAGATTCATTCTAAACCTAACAGTATAATGAGCTAGACCCAGGTATCCTTACTGGAAAAGCTGAGCAAGATTAGGTTTATGCCATTTGCATGTTCTAGATTGTTGGAACAGCACTGATTATATTCTGCCCAAACCTACTTAAAGTGACACCAAACTCGGAAGTTAAAGCTTAAAAATACATTTTAGGTACCTTAACCAGGGCTCAAAATTTCCACTCGCCCCGTCGCAATTTGCGAGTGAAAATTGCGTGGGGGCGAGTGGAAATGAAGCCTCCTCGGGGCGGCTTCTCTCCTGTTCACCGACCTGATGACAGCGCTCCCTCGTCCGTCCGTCTAAGCAGGAGGGCGCAGGAGGGAGCGCTGCCTGCTGTCAGGATGGCGGAGCGGTGAGGGGGAGAGAAGCCGCGCCCCCAGCTGTCAGGGTGGCCGAGCGTATAGGAGATCGGAGCCACTGTCATCCTGTCAGTTTCGGGATGACAGCGGCTCTGTGCGTGGCAGAGTGGGGGATCGGTAAATATCATTGATATTTACCGATCCTCCATGTGAGAAGGACAAACACTGGAGCGATTGTCTGATCACTCCAGTGTTTGTAAATAACTGGGGACACATAGTACTATGTGTCCCCAGTTATGAATGAACAGGCTGTGATTCACATCACAGCCTGTTCATTCATGAATTTCTCAATGGGGAGAAACACTCAGTACAGAGGCTCCTCCCCATTCAGAAAC